CCACTTTAATTGGTACAGCTCCGTCTTAATTATTGGTAGTCACTTACTACCCCCCCCCACCCCACACACACACACACACACACAAATTTACGAGACAATATCAAGATTCTGACTTTGGTAGACAAGAAAGTAGAACAGAAAAAAACCCAGTTGATTACACAAGCCAAAAATTTCAAAGACGCAAACTTTTGAAACTAAAAGGGTCACCAAATGTTGAAGCAACTTCTAAGATTAAAAGGGTCATAACAATTTTCAAAGAAGCAACTTGTAATACTAAAAGGGTTACCAAAAAAGCAACTATTGAAACTAAAAGGGTCACCTTGATAAGAGGGCGATGCTTGCTAGAGATAGAATTGGCAGAGAGAGAGAGAGAGAGGTATCCTTAGCTAAGTTTTAGTAGCTAAGATTTTCATTTGTCTGGGGAAGCATCATAGTTTTAGTTGAAGGGATATTCTTTATACATACCAAGATTATTGACACTAAAATTACAAAGATGTCCCCTCATAAAGTTTCAATTTGTCACCCAAAATTTGTGTCCCGTTCTAACAACAAAAACTAAGTTAATGTCCAACATTTGATGGTTTACTAAGCTTCATTTTTGGCAACAAGACCTAGCAAATTTTTTTCGAATAATATTTGACCGTAGATCGCTTGTATATTTGTAGAAATAACACTAAAATATCCTAAATATCATTATTCATTTTTCGACAACTTTTATTATTAGGAGCATTGTGCTGGTTTTTGGTGAATAATTACACGTGATTCGTGGCTATGGTCCTTCTGAATATTACAACGTGTACTGAATCTAAATTCAAATAAATGAGGAGAATTACGATAGAGTTGTAATTATACTGAGTTCTCTAAATATCACATCAATTAAGATGTATCAATTTGGGCATGCACTGGTCACAACATTGACAAATGAATAGAATGATATCAATACTCAAAACACATATAGCCGCCTCCAATTAATTTGTTTTTGAAACATACAACTCATAGTATGTCTCATGGCTAAATAATGGAAATGCGAGACTAAAAGAAAGAACTTGTTTGTTTTGTTTTTCGGACAAAAGATCCAAAAATTCATGATTTTGCATTTGAAGAAATAAATCAATTCTAGATATGTATACTTGGCAAGTTCAACCCCCCCCCCCCCCTCCCCCCCCTAAAAAAAAAAATAAATCAGCTCGGTTTTCTATTTCCTTTTGTCCACTGTTTGATAAGGCTCATCAGCTTCTTGTTAAGTCTGTCTCCCCACTAGTCCCCAAATATTATTTTTTATAGCTTCGAAAGAAGATACTAAAGTAGGCGTTTGGACCTAAAAATTGTAATTTTTCAAAAAAAGTAGTATTTAGAGTTAAGTTGAAAACAGACATTTGGAATTTGAAATTATGTTTGGAAGTGCATTTTACTTGAAAAATACTACAATTTTGTGAGCGGGAAAAAAATTCTGAAAATTTTGAAAAAGTGGTCAAAATCACTTTTTGTTTTTGAAAAACTCATTCTCGAAAAAAATTCAAAAAATTACAAATTTTTATGGACAAACACATTTAAAAAAAATAAAAAAAGAAATATTTTTTATGGACAAACGGGTCCTAAGATATGATTATAGAAGTTGCTCTTCTGGCCAAAAAGATTTTAAAAAAAAAAATCAAAAGGAGATGCTCCACTAGTTCAGGTTTCTTATAACCCTTTCTCTATTTTATTTACCTTGGTTAACATATGTAACCTCTAAACCTTTTCAGTTTTCACCATAGATCCCTGTTGACTGGAGTTAGTAAAACAAGCTGATAAGTTAACTATGGTTAGAAATAACACTAAAATACCCTAAATATCATTATTCATTTTTCGACAAATTTTATTCCAAATTAGGAGCATTGTGCTGGTTTTTGGTGAATAATTACACTTGATTCGTGGTTATGGACCTTCTGAATATTACAACGTGTACTGAATCTAAATTCAAATAAATAAGGAGAATTACGATAGAGTTATAATTCTACTGAGTTCTCTAAATATCAAATCAATTAAGATGTATCAATATGGGCATGCACTGGTCACAACATTGACAAATGAATAGGTCTTAATAGAATGATATCAATACTCAAAACACATATAGCCGCCTCCAATTAATTTATTTTTGAAACATACAACTCATAGTATGTCTCATGGCTAAATAATGGAAATGCGAGAGTAAAAGAAAGAACTTGTTCGTTTTGTTTTTCGGACAAAAGATCCAAAAATTCATGATTTTGCATTTGAAGAAATAAATCAATTCTAAATATGTATACTTGGCAAGTTCAACCCCCCCCCCCCACCCCCCCAAAAAAAATAAATCAGCTTGTTTTTCTATTTCCTTTTGTCCACTGTTTGATAAGGCTCATCAGCTTCTTGTTAAGTCTGTCTCCCCACTAGTCCCCAAATATTATTTTTTATAGCTTCGAAAGAAGATACTAAAGTAGGCGTTTGGACATAAATATTGTAATTTTTGAAAAAAAATAGTATTTAGAGTTAAGTTGAAAACTGGCATTTGGAATTTGAAATTATGTTTGGAAGTGCATTTTACTTGAAAAATATTACAATTTTGTGAGCGGAAAAAAAATTCTGAAAATTTTGAAAAAGTGGTCAAAATCACTTTTTGTTTTTGAAAAACTCATTCTCGAAAAAAATTCAATAAATTACAAATTTTTATAGACAAACACATTTAAAAAAATAAAAAAAAAGAAATATTTTTTATGGACAAACGGGTCCTAAGATATGATTATAGAAGTTGCTCTTCTGGCCAAAAATATTTTTAAAAAAAAAATCAAAAGGAGATGCTCCACTAGTTCAGGTTTCTTATAACCCTTTCTCTATTTTATTTACCTTGGTTAAAATATGTAACCTCTAATACCTTTTCAGTTTTCACCATAGATCCCTATTGACTGGAGTTAGTAAAACAAGCTGATAAGTTAACTATGGTTAGAAATGTAAATATAGACTGGAGTTAGGAGTAAGTTAGTTAGTACAGTGTTAGAAATCAGTTATACTGTAGTTCTATAAATACACAACACACTCATGTACAGATATACGGTTGTATCAGTTCTTCTCAATAACAGATTTTGTTTTCTCATTCTCTGAGTGTTGCCTTCTCTTGCATGTCTTCTTCCTCAAGCTCAGCCTTCCGATTCATGGCAGCTAACATGGTATCAGAGCCACCGGAGTAGATCGAAAGCAGTTCTCAAGCTAGTCCTTACTCTCGTTACTTCAATTTCATAATTCTGTGGTAAATTGTCCAATTGTAGCGTGTAGCTGAAAGGCTAGGGTTTACTCTTGAGAAGCAGTTAAAAATGGCGCTTGGAGAAGAAACGTTAGGTGAAACTTCATTTCCAGCAACTACAACCTCTGGTAGTGTCAGTCCTGCCGCCGGCACAACTGTGTTTCCATCAATTGACCACAATCACCCACTCTTCCTTCAACCAACAGACACTCCAGGTAGTACTCTGATTTCTCTTCAACTTACTGGTTCAGATAACTATGCGCTATGGAGTAGGTCTATGAGGATTGGTCTGTTAGGGAAAGCAAGTTAGGTTTTGTAGATGATCAATTCTAAGTCTAAATTTGAACCTGAACTTCATGATCAATGGGAGAAAGTGAATGTTGTAGTTCTCTCATGGATAATGAATGCAGTAAGACCAAGTTTACTTAGTAGTGTAGTATATGCCTCTAATGCTCACAAGGTTTGGGAGGACTTAAAGGAGAGATTCGACAAGGTAAATGGATCTAGGGTTCTGTATCTTCATAGAGAGATTCATACCCTCACTCAAGGTACCATGTCTATTGCTGACTACTTCTCCAAGTTGAGAGATCTTTGGGATGTATTTGATGCGTTAATGCCCCGTCCTAGGTGTCCATGTCCTGAGTCAAAAAAATATGCCCAACACTTTGAGTATCACAGGCTACTACAGTTTCTAATGGGATTGAATGAGTCCTACTCATAGTCAAGGAGATCGATCATGATGATGTCTCCAATTCCTAGCATTAACAAGCCTACTCTCTATTGATTGATCAAGAGAGTCAAAGGAGTCTGGCTAATTTCACTCAGACCAATCAAACTGTTGAAGGCATAGAAGGAGTTGTATTCTATAGTAATAAGAACCCAACAAATGTAGGTGGAAATTTCAAGTATAGAAAGAATCAGGTTCAGTGTAAATATTGTCACTATAAGGGGCACACAAAGGAGAACTGCTACAAACTTCATGGGTATCCATCAGACTTCAAAGGAAAGAAAAAGGGGCAGAGTTCTGGAGTGTACGCAAACAGTGTGAGTAGTCCAATGTTTCCAAATGCTGCAGAAGCAAACAATTAGCAAGTTTCCTATGGAATTCAACCAGGGTTGCAGCAAGTCCAGCAAACTTTCATGCCTCAGTTTACACAAACAAATCCTAACAATACTCATGCAGTTCCTTTCTTCACCAAAGAACAGTACCAACAAATTATTCAGATGCTGTCCAAAAGGAATGAAGAGGGTCCAGAATCATCCACCAAGGTAGCTGTTGCAGGTACTCTAATTACTCTAATGTCAAATTATCTCAAGCATAATTATATTATAGACACATGAGCCTCAAATCATATGACTTCACAACTTGATGCTCTTACCTCTTGTCAAGCAATCCACAGTTCAGAGAGGTGCACTGTTCAATTACCTATTGGGAATGTAGTGTCTGTATCACATAAATGAACCTCCTCAGTACTTAGAAATAACAATATCTCTAATGTGCTATACATTCCAGACTTTAGATACAACTTACCCTCAGTGTCTTAACTCACAAAAGAAATCCAATGCATGGTTGCATTCTTCCCTGATTTCTGCATTTTCCATCTCTTCAGTGGTCAGGTGAAGGGGATTGGTAAGAAGGAGCATGGTTTGTACATACTTCAAGGAGGATCATCACAGTATTCTACAGCAACACCAGAAAATAAGTGTGCTCACGCAGCCAACTTACTTGATTCTGAAGTAGTATGTCATAGAAGATTAGGACATGCTCCTTTTGATGTAATAAGGAAGTTAGATGCACTTAGTACCTTAAAGACAGAACTCATCACTGTCATGTATGCCCAGTTGTTAAACAGTCTAGATTGCCTTTTGCTCTAAGTACATCGGTATCTTAATCTGCATTTGACTTAGTTCATTGTGATATCCGGGGGCCATATAGAGTTATTTCTCATAGTGGTAAGAGGGATTTTGTTACATTAGTTGAAGACTATACCAGATACACTTGGATTTTTCTGCTAAACTTCAAGTAAGAAGTTATAGTTGTACTAAGAGATTTTCTAACTCAAATAAGGAATATGTTTTCAACTTCCATAAAAGTCTTAAGAACTGATAATGGTAGTGAGTTTTTCATTAATGAGTTCAAATAGTTGCTCTCCATTCTTGGTATCTTTCATTAGAGTACAT